GCACTGTTTGGTCATCATAAAAAAAAGGAACCCCGTATTTTCTATTTGGACATACTTCCAACCACCAAGTAAGTCTGTATTCACATATCTCACAAATTAAATGTTCAAATATAACACACAAAAATTGAATTACTCTAAATCATCTTTCTATTCATTTAATATTTAGACACCACGGTAGAGCCTTTAATAGACCAACTTGCATCTTGCACAGCATGTCTTACAGTCAGATGAAAGCAACAACCTAACCACTGACAGTTTTCAAACCAATTTTTTTTTTTTTTTAAGTTACTAACTTGTCTCATAAAATTATTCCAAGCAGAACATTAAAAAACATTTAGCTCTAAAAAAAAAAAAAAAAGGTCTTATACAATTTAGCAAATTCCTATAACCAAGACATATGATTATACTAGACTTATGCATTGCTTATTTCCCTTAGAAATCCTAAACTTAAGCCTAAAGGTAGTAACATTCAGCTTCTGGTGTTCAAATTTCTATAAAACTAAATTGTGTATATAAAAAAATTAATATCATCTAAAAATAATGTTAAGAAGGCTAGAAAATCATAACTAATGTTCTGATCTTTTTGCACCCTGTTTAAAACTTTTATTTTTTATAAAAAATAAAAAAAATTAATAAGCTAAATTTTAAGAGAAGTCAATAAGTGGTAGTGACATATTTCAATTGAACAGAAGGATTTAATCTAAAATTTCAATAATTTCTTAAAGAGTACTACTAAAAGCTAGTATGGTACAGAATACCATTAACTTTCAACTAAAATTATCAAGGACAAATTAATATAGCATTCAAAAAAAATCTCGTGATCAACCTAAAAAATAAATACTTGATTTACATGACAAGGTTAGTCATAAACGATTAGTACATTTTTTTTATATCTTCATACTTCACCCATATTTGAAATTAAAATGTTGAAATCATGAGAATATGCTATTCAATAATAAAAAAAATCAAAGAACAGCTATGATGTTACAGCAAACAACTTTATAAAGGAGGGTTTTGGGTCTATTAAATGGTGTTCTCATATTTTTCATAAGCCAAACAGAATCCAGGAAATATAGAACCCAACCTCCTATCATCCCTTGACCTACATACATAAAATAATGTCCCAAAAGGTTTAGGAGACATTGATACATGTCAAAATCATTTTTCTGTTAAAATGTAATTTAAAGAATTTACTCCCCACTTGAATATTTAATAATTTTTTGTAAATAAACTATTTGGTTTGATGATTGTATATATAATAGATCTCACCCCATTAAAATCTTAACTGGGTAAGAAGGTGAAATATTGAAATTGTAAAACATTAACAGACATGCCCCTGGAGAACTCTCCAAAATTCAAGATATTTCAAATGGATACAATTAAATAATTTTAGTGACATCTATGCCATGAAGATGGAGAATCTGTGAAGGGTTAGGGGTGAGTTTGGTGGATAGTGGAGTGGTGTGTTAGGTGAGTAGTGAAGAGGCTGATGGAAAATTTTTCATTTTTTGGCAGTACTTTATTTTCAGTTAAAATCAATGTTTTCCCAAGCAAATTAAAGATCAATTCACCCATTAATCAAAAATTTATAATATATTATATCCTAAAAGTTGTACACTTAAGCTATAGTGTATACATCACTCAAAAATCAATATGGACCTAAATTGTTATAATTAAGCTTAAAATGTTTGGTTTTCTTCATAACTTATATGCAAATAGACAATGTTAAATAAAAAATATTACTTAAATAGGTAGGCTACCTATGCACTATGGTAAACAATTTTATTTCTGATAATAAAAATAGATATGTACATTCTACAATAGCTTACTTAAGGCAGATTCATTTGAGGTAGCGTAAAAGATAGAAATACTGCAGATTCAAACCATTGAGTTGAGAGAGACCATTGCTCACGCAAATAAAAGCAATGGCAATAGATCAAGTGGGACCTATAATATTTGACAGCTTTTACAGTCCTTGATTTTGAGAATACAGCTACTCAGCCTACTACTGTCACTAGCTTAACCCTCTTGAGACGGTTGGGCCGATATCAGCCCAGGGTGGAGAAGCGAAAAAGACGCAATTACTGATCTATCGACACAATAATTCTAGCCTCGAGATAGGCTGGTTGCTCTTCGTACCAGCTTATCAGAATACTTCTTACATATTCCTGCACATTCTGGCAACTTAATGACGGCCTCCATTTATTGGTAACTAGCATTTGTTGTGTGCAGGAATTTTATTTTTTTTTGTGTTGCAAGTAATATTGAAAAATTCCAAAACGTCTGAACAACCTATCCTTAGTGATTTTGATATTCTAGCTGTGAATCTGACACTGATGAAAACAACCAGGAACGTAATGAAGACGATCAAAATGATGATGTTGACAATAATGTTGTGAACCCTTGGTTTAGTATTAAGTCCTCAACTGAATAGAGATGACCCCTCTGAATTCTGAATTTTTAGAAAATATAGGACATATAAATATGCCTCAAGGCATAAGCACCCCATTTGAGTACCTTATGCTATGTTTTAGACTAAATATTACTCAAATTTTTATGAGAGACCAATAGGTTGCAGACAACTTTCTAAGTAACACCCAGCTTAAGAGAAGGACCCTAGGTCATAAATGGGGGCCTGTTACAGTGAGTGTCTGTAGTAACTAAAAAAAGACGGGACAGGAAAATGAATAGAACCATGTGCCAGAGGTGTCTGAAGGGCCTCCATGAGCCTTGTTTCCCAAAAATAAAAGTGTTAAGTCTTATTCAAGCTTCATCCATCAAAAAATTCACACAATCGATACAAGTAAGTCATGTTTATTGTCAGTTTAACAAAAAATTAAATGCATAAATTTAGATCAGGATTGTTCATTTGCATAAATGTTGAGATGTAAATTTCCTACAAGAATATATATAGTTTTATTATATATATAAAGGAAAGTTATTTTTTATTTTAAAATGTCAATACAAGTGCAGAGCTAGTAAAAAGTGCTCCGTCTTTTTGACACAAACGCTCCAAAAAGGCTCTGTCTCAAAAGGGTTAAGCGACAAGTTACTTAAATTAACTGTCATTATCATTAAGTTTTAATTACTATAATTGTATAATACTTGTAAAAAAAAACACTAAAACTTGTATTAGTTAAGTCTACTACTACTAACTTAACAATACTAATAGTAATAACCATAGTTTAGTATTGTAGGCAATGTAGGCATAGCCTTCTTGTGCAACAAGTTAAACTTAGCCACCTTAAGCCTTAAGTCACTAAGAGTACTAAGACTAGCTAGAGCAGTAAATAATTAGACTTGTTTACTTAAGCAAGGCCTAGTTAATATAACCCTCTGTCACAAGCAGATAACGAGAACGTTTCACAACCCTTAGGCTTTTGTAAAGTTTAAACTGTGAACATTTCCGTAAAACATCCAGTAAGAAAACATCTAGTATGATTTAAATGTTCGCGCTTGCCCGTGGAGGCAGCAGCGTTCACAGCTTAACTGTGGCCTGTGACTGTGGCTTGGCGTGTACAAAGTGTACTCCGCCATTTTGATAAAGCATCAATGATTGCTTGCTGCAAAACAATGTATACCCTCGACTTAGACTGGATGTGTTGACAGACAAAAGTACATACAAAAGTGTGGATAATAAGAACTTTAGAAGGTAAATAGAAGTAATAAAGATTTTACCTCAAATCCCTCTAAAAATAACGAGACTCCTTTGTATGGGACTCTTTTCTTCTCGTGTGGTAGCTTGTCGGCTGGCGGTAGGTACTGTAAAGGATCTCTAGCCGCAAATAACGCAAGTAAATTGGGTGGTAGATATTGAGTCATCTTCTATAAGTTCTTTACTAATTACAGTATTGACATAACGACCAGATTTAAACCAGTTTGGAAACTTTACTTCCGAGGTTGTTTTGTGGAACTGATACACACTGTCTTTGACAGGTTGTTTTCTTCCGTTTCACGCGGCTTTACCTCGTTCCTCACTGCGCCGGCGAACTGGCAGTTCCAACCATTGATTTTCAACTAACAAATTTGTGACGTACTACACGGTGCAAGGTAACCGTGTATTACTGCAGCAAATTGCAACTGATACGGAGATAAAATAGATGTTTTATTTAAATGTGTTATTAAATATATTCGTAATTTTAACCATCGATTATTTTTAATTTTAAAAAATATGTAGCGTACATATTATTAAATTTATTAAATAAAAAGGTAAATATATTCCTGCTGTACAAAAATACTGATTGGTCGATGGACTAACGGGAATAATTCCCCTGTTACTTAATTTAGCCTTTGCCCTACACTAAGGAGTTTCTTGATTGTATTCAAAGGTAAGTAACTTCTGAATGGGGATTCATCGCCCTTTATTCGCCGAAATTGATTATTTTTTTTTAATGAAGTCTTCGCGGGCCATAAGTTGTGTTTTTTTTAGTCTGTGGCCACAGTAGGCATAGCTAAGTATGTAACCAACTCATGGACCAATCGGCTGTGTCGAGGCGCCATAGCACACTCGTGTGTGAATGGAGGGCATAAGCAGCACCGAGCGGTGTCTATTTTTACTCGGAAATCATTAGGCCCAGCGCTCACGCTAACATTGCGCGTAAACTCATGTACTGTTGAAAACTGGGCCGCTTGTTTGACGTTTATCATTGAGATTACTAATTGTGGTGATTTTTTCATTTAAAGAAAAAAGTGTGTAACATTTTTTTTCGCCAGCAGGTGGATTTAGCAGCCAGGATTCGTTTTTAGTTTGCTGCAATATGCATTTGGAATATTCAGTGTGTCAGTTGACAGTTCCAGTGAATCTAATAGCGGTACTAAAGTCGTGTATGACGTCAAAATAATCGATTCCATCCGGGGAACGGAGGAATTATTTATGTCGGCCATATTTTGTAGATTTGTTATGATCGCGCGGTCGTGAAATTTAAGGTTTAGGATGTTATACATTTAAAGAGACAACCATAGGGAGCTTCTGCGAGGGTGGGACTAATGCAGGCTGCAACATGGAGGTTGCTATGGCGGGGATCGAGGGGAACGGGGGCCCGGCTGGATACCGGGACTCTTACCATTCCACTCACAGGTCACAATTACGATCCTCTAATCTTCCCAATTCCAGGTCATTTCCGAAGCTCTCCGAGGAAGACAATGCCAATGACGATGGGATGGGCCCACCCGGGAACGACTATGACTGCAGCTGCGAGCGCGTTGTAATCAACGTCAGCGGTCTGCGGTTCGAGACCCAGCTCAAAACGCTCAACCAGTTTCCCGATACACTCCTCGGAAACCCGTTGAAGCGAAATCGCTACTACGACCCACTACGCAACGAGTACTTCTTTGACAGGAACCGACCCAGTTTCGATGCCATCCTGTACTTTTACCAGAGCGGCGGGAGATTGCGTCGTCCGGTGAATGTACCCCTGGACGTGTTTTCCGAAGAGATCAAATTTTACGAGTTAGGCGAGAGTGCCTTCGAGAGGTACAGAGAGGACGAGGGCTTTATCAAAGAGGAGGAGAAGCCTTTGCCTCAGAATGAATTCCAGAGACGTGTTTGGCTGCTGTTTGAGTATCCGGAGAGCTCAGCCGCCGCCAGACTGTGTGCGATATTTTCAGTAGTCATTATTCTTTTGTCCATTGTTATCTTCTGCCTAGAGACTTTACCACAATTCAAGCATTACAGGGTTGTTAATTCCACGCTCAATGATTCTAAAGAGTCCATTGAAGAGGACGATATTCCCAAGTTTAACGAGCCGTTTTTCATCATTGAGACCTGCTGTATAATATGGTTTACGTTTGAGCTCCTAGTCCGGTTTGCATCCTGTCCGGAGAAACTGGGCTTCTTCAAAAACATCATGAACTGCATCGACATCGTGGCCATCATTCCATACTTCATCACTCTGGGCACGGTGGTCGCCGACCAGAGCAAGAGCAACAATCAGGCCATGTCGCTGGCCATCCTCAGGGTTATCCGACTCGTCCGGGTCTTCAGGATATTCAAACTTTCCAGACACTCGAAAGGTCTTCAGATCCTGGGCCAGACCCTGAAGGCCAGCATGCGGGAGCTGGGTCTGCTCATCTTCTTCCTCTTCATCGGTGTCATCTTGTTTTCCAGCGCGGTCTACTTTGCCGAGGCTGACGCGGATCAGACTCATTTCAAAAGTATTCCCGATGCGTTCTGGTGGGCGGTGGTCACCATGACGACGGTCGGCTACGGCGACATGATGCCGATCGGCGTGTGGGGCAAGTTGGTGGGATCACTGTGTGCCATTGCCGGCGTGCTGACCATTGCGCTTCCTGTACCCGTCATCGTATCTAATTTCAATTACTTTTACCATCGGGAGGGGGAGAACACGGACAAGGGACAGTACAAGCATGTGCAGTCATGCTCCAATTACCCCGATAAAAAGGATTCCCTCGATTCCGAGTGTGGGTCTGATATAATGGAGATGGAGGAAGGGAACCACAGCACACCATTGACCGAAAAGGTCAAGGAGAATCACGCCATCAAGGCCAACAACCCCGGCAGTGACTACGGTCTAGAGACTGATGTATGATATAGTGCCTCCTGCCGTTTATGTCAGCTATCAGGTTGTTTTTAACCAAATAATACTGTAGGAGGCCAAACGACAACAAGCAGACGACAGTGTGTGGCCGCTTCACTGATCAACTCATTGCTCTGTGCTTACGTCATCTTTTCATGACTCTGCAGAGCAGACAGTGGCCTAGGTTTTTTAATCTGTTTCCTGGAGCATCCTACGTGCCCCAATTTTTACTAGATGATTTCAACTGACATTCAACATTTTCATTTTCTTTTTCTCTTTTTCTTTCTTAAAAAAAAAAAAGAATAATTTTGCTCTATGCTTTAGGATAGTAGATCTCTAATCTTAGTCTTGCCAAATGAAGCAGTTAGTTGTCCATGCTGGCAATCAACTCGCATGCATTTCCTTACCTTAGATTTCCAGTGTCTCTCAACATTCTAGATTGTTGATGTAAATACAAACAAATATTTATTTATTTCTATTATTTAACCCCCCCCCCAACCCCGACCTTCCACCCCTTTTTATTTCTAAATTACCACACACAAATTGTTGGTACAAGATCCACCCGTATACATTTTTTAAACAATTTTTATATTATTTTTTTTAGACTGCAGATATTGCCGTCTACCTCAGAAGTTATTTATTGATAAGGCACACCTTGAACTCTGAACGTACATCATTTTATTAGCAAGAGAACAGTCATGCCACATGTCAGTCATGCCACATGTCAGTCATGCCACATGTCAGTCATGCCACATGTTTTATTAAAATAGTTCCTATTTTTTTTTTTTTAAATATTCCATTGAATATGAGTTTTATAAACAAATTTATAAGAAAATCATTTAATTGAGAACATAATTTCAGAACCATAATTTTTTCTTAGCTGGAGTGTGCAGAAAGGTCCATTGTGATATAGGTCTTTACTAAATGAAAACCTTGCACAGATTAGTACACAGATTGTGCTATGCACATAAAGTGAAGATTTATTTACACCTTTTTGTTTGTTTAATCCCATGCACAGCTCAACCAATCACTTAGATGCAGTCAAATATTTTTCTTGACTTAAGACTTTAACTATTCATATTTTATTTATTTTTTTTAGAGTCCCTCCTCCTTGTGATAGAGAGAAAGATACATAGAATGCTTACTAAGTGTTTGTTATTTCCACTTTACATTATCTTGTTCAGAACGTGAGTGAAGTTGTACATATTTTAAATTTTAATTAAATTATTATTAATTTTTTTTTTTTTTGCATGCTCTCAATACTAAGCCAAAGCCATGTTTTAAAATAACATGTCATAGACTGTGTATAACCACATAGACTGTGTATAACCACATAGACTGTGTATAACCACATAGACTGTGTATAACCACATAGACTGTGTGTATAACCACAGTCAGGTGAAGTAGGTGTTTTAGGCATTGAAAGTAGCAAAGCTTAGAACATCAGTAGGTGGGCACTGTAAACAGAGAGCTGTCCATAGATCTATGGAAGGTCAAGACTTGCCAGGTTGTAAGAGTGACACTTGCCAGGGCGGAGAAGAAATCTATGCACGAACAATATACAGCCGTTATTTTATTTATTATTATTTATTTTTTTTTGGTCGCATTTTCTGACAAAGAACAACAACAAACTTTACTACTAGCCAATGGAACTTTGCTTTTTTCTGTGATCACACCTTGTTGAATATGTATCACTGTTTTTCTATTGTCAGTGACACATAGCTCATTCAAGTCTAGATTCTACTTGATATGTCTCCACACTACCAGGATTGCATTTGTTGAAATTCCTTGCACCTTTTTGCATCCCCTCCCAATTTTTTTTTTTTTTTTTTTTTTTTTTTTTTCTTTTTTTCCCCCCCCCCCCCTTTTTTTTTTTTTTTTTTTTTTTTGCATAGCATTTAAAGCGAATGCTTCTACACATCTTGTAGACAGTTTACTCATCTTCCACCATTTATCAAATCTGAGCTTGAACCTCAAGGGCAACACATAAAGGGGAAAGGGTAGGGGTCTTAGCAAAATGGTTTGTCAATCTTATTTTTTAATTGAAATCAATGGATACTGGATATGAAGCAGCTTAACACAACTTAAATCCACTACGGCCTCACGGGGATCACACGCCATTGTAAGGAGAGATCTGATTGGATGGGTTTAGTCATGGATAAGGGGGCTGGCCTACGGCACTGCCCACAAGTGCTCTGTGGTTGTCGTATCTGGAATGAATGCTTGGATCAGTGCGTCGTCTGATTCATCAAAGTCAGCAGTGTGCACCATCTTCGCAATCGTCCAGCATTCAGTGAAGGATTGAAGCGTCATCACGGCCAGGTTCCACTGCGAACAAACGGCCCAGCTTTCACTGGTAAACAAACGGCCCAGCTTTCACTGGTAAACAAACACCAGGAAAAAGAAAACGCCAGTGATATTCAACGCCAACTCCTAATGTACAAAACGCAGTGCCGGTTGTCCAGTGGTGACGCAGTGCCGGTTGTCCAGTGGTGGCGTCCAAAATATCTCCATGACTTCATCCAATGGTAAGTATCTTTAACCTGTTTGATTTCATTACAACTTTTATTTAGCACCTGTACATTTAGCACCTGTACATTTAGCACTTGTACATTTAGCACTTGTACATTTAGGACATGTACATTTAGCACCTGTACATTAATCATTTTATTCTCAACTTGAATTTATTTTCATGTGTTTGTTTCTTGTTGTTTTTTTAAATTAGACTTATTACTTGTTCATCTTTCCCATGGTTGGCCATCTTGTTCACCCCCTACCGTCCTGTAGGCCTATTTGGTCCTACCCTACCCCCCTGGAGGCCTACTTGGTCCTAACCTACCCCCTTGGAGGCCTACTTGGTCATACCCTACCGTACAGGAGACCTACTTGGTCATACCCTACCCCCCTGTAGGCCTATTTGGTCCTACCCTACCCCCCTGGAGGCCTACTTGGTCCTAACCTACCCCCTTGGAGGCCTACTTGGTCATACCCTACCGTACAGGAGACCTACTTGGTCATACCCTACCGTCCTGTAGGCCTATTTGGTCCTACCCTACCCCCCTGGAGGCCTACTTGGTCCTACCCTACCGTCCTGGAGACCTACTTGGTCATGCCCTACCGTCCTGTAGGCCTATTTGGTCCTACCCTACCGTCCTGTAGGCTTATTTGGTCCTACCCTACCCCCCTGGAGGCCTACTTGGTCATACCCTACCGTCCTGTAGGCCTATTTGGTCCTACCCTACCCCCCTGGAGGCCTACTTGGTCATACCCTACCGTCCTGGACACCTACTTGGTCGTACCCTACCGTCCTGGAGGCCTACTTGTTCATACCATCCCCTACCTTAGGCCTACTTGTTCATATCCTACCCTCCTGTAAGCCTACCTTTCCTTTTGCCGACGATATACTCAATCTTTATACCCTGGACCCCACCCCTGCCTGGAGCATTAGCGGCCAATCAAGAAACACAGAATATAAAAACAAAAAACTCGCTGGCTAGCATATGACTAGCATATTTAAATTGCACTGTTCTTGATTGCAACTTGCAACACTCGTCTTTGCGACAGTCCACACCCATCTTTGCGACAGTCCACACCCATCCTTGCGACAGTCCACACCCATCTTTGCGACAGTCCACACCCATCTTTGCGACAGTCCACACCCATCCTTGCGACAGTCCACAACCATCATTGCGACAGTCCACACCCATCATGGCAGAACGGAACAGCCATCCTTGCGACAGTCCACACCCATCATTGCGACAGTCCACACCCATCATTGCGACAGTCCACACCCATCATTGCGACAGTCCACACATTTGACAAATTGTGCACTCGTTGCCCCCTCGTTCTTTGGTGGAATAGACCTTTGTTTAGAATTTGATGGGGTTTTTTTTGGCCCTCACTAAATAAATTATGTTACCAATTCCTTATATAGGATGACTTCCTCACATAGGATGACTTCCTCACATAGGATGACTCCTTATATAGGATGACTTCCTCACATAGGATGACTTCCTTATATAGGATGACTTCCTTATATAGGATGACTTCCTCTCATAGGATGACTTCCTTATATAGGATGACTTCCTCACATAGGATGACTTCCTTATATAGGATGACTTCCTTATTATAGGATGACTTCCTCATATAGGATGACTTCCTTATATAGGATGACTTCCTTGTATAGGATGACTTCCTTACATAGGATGACTCCCTTACTTTGGATGACTTCGTGGGTCCCAAAATATTTGCACCGACAAAACACTGGACATCTAACTGATAGACATAAGGACGCCAGGAGACGTAGTCATTTCTATGAATGACTTAACTTTGGCAGTCTATAGACAACAGCTTCTCGGTTCGTACGTTTTAGACTTGGCTCCCCCTTCCCCCCTCCCCCCCCCCGCCCACTTGCCCTACTCCATCTTTTGTCAAAGTAAACAACACATCCGCCTTATTAAGTCTGTCTAGAATTGCTCTTCCAACTCGTTCAAACGCTCTCCCTATTCACGACCGATCATGTTAGACCGAAACAAAACAAAAATGATGATCAACTATGAATACTTTTTCCCTCGTCGAGAGACCCGTTCCCAACTACAACTGCCCAACAAGCCTCCCCTTTCAATACTAGCAATATGTGGCGGCTGGAGCAATGCAGCGTTGTCAAACAGATAGACGCGTTCCAAATACGGGAGTCTCTGCACTGTTACTTTTTGTCCTCATCTTCTAGATATTAATGGCCCACGATTAATGTATTGACCATTATGGCTCCTATGTATGTAGAGGGGATTCGCAATCTTTTTGTGCCTGATATTGAAGAAGATATTTCACTAGTTGCATGGGCTAAACAGCGAGGGTATCGAGAAGTGGGGGTTGGAAGGCCTAAGTCTATAGACGCAAATGTGTCCAAGTGTTGTCGCCTCAACTGTTCTTTTTGGAAGCTTGTTCCAGTCTCTTGTTGTCTTTGGCAGGAATGGGCAGTTCCTTTACTGTACTGCCTGTCACCGCCTCGT